ATAGATAGATAGATAGATAGATAGATAGATAGATAGATAGATAGATAGATAGATAGATAGATAGATAGATAGATAGATAGATAGATAGATAGATAGATAGATAGATAGATAGATAGATAGATAGATAGATAGATAGATAGATGATAGATAGATAGATAATGATAGATAGATAGATAGATAGATAGATAGATAGATAGAATAGATAGATAGATAGATAGATAGATAGATAGATAGATAGATAGATAGATAGATAGATGATAGATAGATAGATAGATAGAAGATAGATAGATAGATAGATAGATAGATAGATAGATGATAGATAGATAGATAGATAGATAGATAGATAGATAGATAGATAGATAGATAGATAGATAGATAGATAGATAGATAGATAGATAGATAGATAGATAGATAGATAGATAGATAGATAGATAGATAGATAGATAGATAGATAGATAGATAGATAGATAGATAGCTAGATAGATAGATAGATAGATAGATAGATAGATATATGATAGCTAGATAGATAGATAGATAGATAGATTAGATAGATAGATAGAATATGATAGATAGATTAGATAGATAGAATAGATAGATAGATAGATAGATAGAAGATTATAGATAGATAGTAGATAGATAGATAGATTAGATAGATAAGATAGATGATAGGTAGATAGATAGATAGATAGATAGATTAGATAGATAATAGATAGATAATAGATAGATAGATAGGATAGCTAGATAGATAGATAGATAGGATAGATAGGATAGATAGATAGAATCTACGAAATGTATGCCAGCATGAATGAATGGACTGACTTTATTATTTGGAAGCAGATCGTCTTCTTTTTTATAATGATGCTTTATAATAACTTCTATTTATGCAAGTAAAATTATTGCAAACTACCAAACAGTATGACAAACTTGTCAATCACTTTAATGAAAAGGGTATAAAAAAAATTCTCATACTCAGAGAGAAATAATATAACAAAAAACAAACCCAGAAAAAAACATGTGTTTCTCATACAAATTATTCTTCTTCTTATGTATATTGCTGTTGGTTGGTGCTTGAATATAATTTTGCGAAAAAACAAGTACAATGTATGTATGCTTTTAAGGGACAATGACATTGTGCTGACTTACAATACTACATTTATCCAAACAACCAACTATTTCACCATCCAACCAAACTATCCATCCACACTAACAGCAATGAAACAAAAACATACAAAATAAAAACATTAAACAAACTGGAAAGAAAGAAACAAATGGGAACACAGAAGAAATAATGTGAACACAGAATTAAAACTAACCAAATAAACAAAGTAGACATACAAACTAACAAATAACAACAGCAAAAACAATATGCCATGAACTTTTTTCATACACTTAATCATACATATAACAATTTTTTATGTACGTCTGTTTATCCGTCATATATCAGTTGTTTTATTAGGTAGCAAAATATTACTTATACGTTTACATACAACTGTTAGTGAGTGAAATACGTATGTGTGGAAAAGCAGCAAAACAAGAAGAGATGGATGAATGGCGTCAAGTTTCGTACACACATACCCCCTTCTCTACCACCTTCCTATTTAACGTCAAAAAAACTAAAAAGTGAGTCATCAATATTTGAGCGTTAAGAAACAATGACACTGATGATGGCGCGGCGGCTTTTGTTTAAGATTATTAACAGCAACAATAGCCCAGCAACCAACAAGAAATAAATTAAATTTATTTTTTTTAAGCAAAAAAAACAAATCGGTTTAAAGAAAGGTTTATCAAATAGGGATGGTTGTGTCCGATTGGGTATCAAATTACTCAGTTTGTGTAAAAACATTTTCTGAGTCGATTATAGTCTTGTTTATATTATGGACTATAGCGTATTCCATTCTCTGACCTGTAAAATTGTTTATATTTTACTATTCAGTCAGTGGTTTCCGGTAGTTTAGCGGTTAGTGTTTTAGTAAGGTTGACCGGAGGTAGTGGGTTAGATTCCCACCTGAGGCACTGGTTAAGGAGCTCACAACATTCCCGATAAAGGCTTAGAGTGTTTTTCATCGGATTTGATGTATATATCTCATCCTTTAACTAACTATCTAACTATTTAGTCAGATTATAGTCTATTCTATAATTTGCACTGAGATTATATTGTATTAATCCATAGGTTTGGGTTTTTATTTTACTCAAATAATAGGCTGAATTATTGATCATATTCTGTACTATAGTGTAGTCCATAGTCTGGACTATAGTGTAATCTATAGTCTGCATTATAATGTAGTCTATAGTCTGGATTATACTCTAGTCTATAGTCTGGACTATATTGTAGTCTATTTTCTGGACTATAGTGTAGTCTATAGTCTGGACTATTTTCTAGTATATAATCTGGTCTATAGTGTAGTCTGGACTATATTGTAGTCTAGTCTATAGCCTATACTATAGTCTAGTCTATAGCCTATACTATAGTCTAGTCTATAGCCTATACTATAGTCTAGTCTATAGCCTATACTATAGTCTAGTCTATAGCCTATACTATAGTCTAGTCTATAGCCTATACTATAGTCTAGTCTATAGCCTATACTATAGTCTAGTCTATAGCCTATACTATAGTCTAGTCTATAGCCTATACTAGTCTAGTCTATAGCCTATACTATAGTCTAGTCTATAGCCTATCCTATACTATAGTCTAGTCTAGCCTACTATAGTCTACTCTATAGTCTGGATTAGATTATAATCCATAGTTAGGACTATGGTCTAGTATTTTGAATATTAATTGTTTTTATTAAAATCTTAATTTCATTAAACTATGGAGTTTTCTTAGTCTTTTGCTTAGACGTTTTTATGTAAATAAAGTGATATGGCAGCCTTTAAAAGTGTTGTTAACTTGATGTCTATATTATAATTTCCTCTTTGAACAAAATTGCTTAAAAGATAAATTTATTATAAAATATACTTAAAAATAATAAAATTTCTGACAATTTAATATATTTTATGAAAAACTAGGTTATAGTTAGGACTATAGTCTAGTATTTTGCATATTAATTGTTTTTATTAAAATCTTAATTTCATTAAACTATGGAGTTTTCTTAGTCTTTTGCTTAGGCGTTTTTATGTAAAATAAAGTGATATGACAGCCTTTTAAAAGTGTTGTTAACTTGATGTCTATATTATCATTTCCTCTTTGAACAAAATTGCTTAAAAAATAAATTTATTATAAAATATACTTAAAAATAATAAAATTTCTGACAATTTAATATATTTTATGAAAAACTAGGTTATTAAAGCAAATAATTACTCAGGTTGTCAACATTTTAAGCAAAACTATTACTAGTAGTTTTATATTTGCACACATGCAAATATAAAAAAGGCGGTATTTACAATAACACAACAGCAACAATAATAGCAATATAAAATAACAAAACAAAAATATGAATAAAATTGTAAATTTTTGATTGACTTTAAAAAAAAGCAGCAATAAAAACTGACGACGTCTAAATATTCAATGAAAATGAAAACTAAATAACAAACGGATGACTGGACGGACGGACGCAGTGAGAAATAAGAATTTGTTGTTGTAGTAATTGTATTGACAACATGACTGACGACACAACACTGCATTCATGGCATGATGATGATTTTTTTTTTAATTTTTTTGTTTTATTTTTTGCATTTTGTTTGCCAGCACTTTAGAAGTGCAACTACTGCTTTAAACTATACAGTAATAAATAAATTATACATATTTTGTTTTTTTCTAGTAATTGTTTGATTGAGTGTTTAGTTTTTTTTATTATTTATTTGAAATGACATTGAACTAGATTTAAGTGTTGTGTTTTGTGGCCGCTAAAACTCTTATTACAAACATTATAGGAATGCAGGTTTTAAGTTGATATTTTTTTGTTCTATCTTACTTTTTATTTATATTCTAAATACTAATATTTATTATATTGTTTAGTAGCTTAATTAAAATTAAATTTTTTAAATAGAAAATATGATTTAAGTTATTATTTTAAAAAGATTTCTTTATTCAATGAAATATTCATACATTTCTAAGAAAAATGTTTAAAAAATTCCATTAAATTGTTAAGGTTTTATTATTTAAAGATTTTTCCATATAAAATTTTAGTTTTTAGGTTTATTATCTGGGTTTTTTAAAACAATTGTCATCATTGTTTATGTTCTTTTTGTGTCTTGTTATCATTTCATTGTGAATGTGTTGCCATATTGAATTTTTTTGAATGGTTATATTTTTATGCAAGTAGTGGCCACTCTGAGGGTTTTTTTTTGCGATTTTTATATCAATTTGTGGTAAATCTAATATTTTAAATGTATGTAATTACAGATTCTTTGTTGTTCTTCTACATGTTCTACATTTCAGTGTATTAACCAGTCTAGTCTATAAACCAATCCATAGTCTAAAGTCTCTATAATTACTACTTAATGTAGGGTATTTAAAAAAATATTGAAACAAAGAACATCATAAAATTTTCAAATTTTCTTTTTATAACATTTTTATCATCACTTTTTTTTTGGGAAATAAATTACTTTTGACATTTTAAAATTAACATAAATTATTTCTTTTACATTATTTTTTTAATTGTTTTTAAAAATTTATTAATACTTTTACTTTGGATGTTGCAACAAGAATTATTATACAATGATAACGAATTGTTATCATTAAAAAAGTTTGTATTTTAAACAATATTTTGACAAAAGTGTAATAAAATATACATTCCATCATTGTTTATATTTTTAAAGAACTTTTAAACTCAAATCATAAATAAAAAAAAAAAAAATAATAATAATATGCCACCAAAATTGTTTAATAAACTAAAAAGATATTGGTAATTGAACAGAAAAGGGAATAAACCAAATCCACCAGATTATTAGTAAAATTTTGTACAATTTCCTTATACATAAGCTTTTTATAATTTATGTATACTTTTTTGTTGTTTTAATAAATTCTTATTAACAATATTTATTTTTTTTATTATTTACAGTGGTGGTGGAACACAGCCTGCTGGTACATCAGGAGGCGGTGGTGGAGGCGGCGGTGGAGGAGGCGGTGGCGGAGCTAGCGCATCAGCTACCGCACGTAACGCAGTCAGTTCCGGCAATATGTATTCCGCCCGCCAATCTGTAAGCACCTCCACGGGGGTTCTTATGGTCGGACCAAATTTTCGTGTCGGTAAAAAAATTGGCTGTGGTAATTTTGGAGAATTGCGTTTAGGTGAGTTATGTTTTTATAATTATAAATAAATATCTTTATATCAGCCCATGTTTAAAAAAAAGAAGGAATTATCATGTTCGTCATGAAGTAAATCATTTAACAAAACATTTACTTATCAACGTTTATAGAAATTTAGTGATTAACTCTTTGTTGACTTGTTTAAATGGTCTAGTATATAGTCTAGACTTAAGGCTGTCCTATAGTCTTGTTTATAGTGAATAGTCTGGTCTGTCTGGTCTAGTCTATAGTCTAGTCTATAGTCTAGTCTATAGTCTAGTCTATAGTCTAGTCTATAGTCTAGTCTATAGTCTAGTCTATAGTCTAGTCTATAGTCTAGTCTAGTCTATAGTCTAGTCTATAGTCTAGTCTATAGTCTAGTCTATAGTCTAGTCTATAGTCTAGTCTATAGTCTAGTCTATAGTCTACTAGTCTATAGTCTAGTCTATAGTCTAGTCTATAGTCTAGTCTATAGTCTAGTCTATAGTCTAGTCTATAGTCTAGTCTATAGTCTAGTCTATAGTCTAGTCTATAGTCTAGTCTATAGTCTAGTCTATAGTCTAGTCTATAGTCTAGTCTATAGTCTAGTCTATAGTCTAGTCTATAGTCTAGTCTATAGTCTAGTCTATAGTCTAGTCTATAGTCTAGTCTATAGTCTAGTCTATAGTCTAGTCTATAGTCTAGTCTATAGTCTAGTCTATAGTCTAGTCTATAGTCTAGTCTATAGTCTAGTCTATAGTCTAGTCTATAGTCTAGTCTATAGTCTAGTCTACAGTCTAGTCTATAGTCTAGTCTATAGTCTAGTCTATAGTCTAGTCTATAGGCTAGTCTATAGTCTAGTCTATAGTCTAGTCTATAGTATAGTCTAGTCTATAGTCTAGTCTATAGTCTAGTCTATAGTCTAGTCTATAGTCTAGTCTATAGTTTAGTCTATAGTTTAGTCTATAGTGTAGTCTAGTCTCCAGTCTAGTCTTCAGTCTAGTCTCTAGTCTAGTCTCTAGTCTAGTCTCTAGTCTAGTCTATAGTCTAGCCTACAGTCTAGTCTGTAGTCTAGTCTATAGTCTAGCCTACAGTCTAGTCTATAGTCTAGTCTATAGTCTAGTCTATAGTCTAGTCTATAGTCTAGTCTATAGTCTAGTCTATAGTCTAGTCTATAGTCTAGTCTATAGTCTAGTCTATAGTCTAGTCTATAGTCTAGTCTATAGTCTAGTCTATAGTCTAGTCTATAGTCTAGTCTATAGTCTAGTCTATAGTCTAGTCTATAGTCTAGTCTATAGTCTAGTCTAGTCTCCAGTCTAGTCTCTAGTCTAGTCTCTAGTCTAGTCTCTAGTCTATAGTCTAGTCTATAGTCTAGTCAATAGTCTAGTCAATAGTCTAGTCTATAGTCTAGTCTAGTCTATAGTCTTGTCTATAGTCTAGTCTATAGTTTATAGTCTAGTCTAGTCTAGTCTATAGTTTTTAGTCTAGTCTGTAGTCTATAGTCTAGTCTATAGTCTAGTCTATAGTCTAGTCTATAGTCTAGTCTATAGTCTAGTCTATAGTCTAGTCTATAGTCTAGTCTATAGTCTAGTCTATAGTCTAGTCTATAGTCTAGTCTATAGTCTAGTCTATAGTCTGGTCTATAGTCTAATTTATAGTCTGGTCTATTGACTTGTGTGTAATCTAGACAATAGTCTAGTCTATAGTAGTGTGTTTAGTCTGTATATTATAACTTTCAAAATTCGTAAAATGTAAAGAATCCCTGCATTGCAGAAATTTTCAATCACAGCTAAATTGACAACATTAATTCACTTATATAAATAACGGTTTTAGCACGTTGCCACATTTCACACTATATCGCAACTTTTGCTCTCTATTCAATAATACTACTAACGAGTTGCCATATGTTTCAAAAGATTCGCATTAGCAAGTAATTAAAAATATCACCGAAATAAATTGTTGAATACAAATTACTTTTAAAGTTTAAAAAATAGGTCTTGTCTGTCATAGAACATATAAATTTTAATAGACTAATAAAAAAATACAGCACAAACGCATCTCTTTGACATCATTTCCAAAATTTAAAAATACACAAAATTTTGTTGTTTTTCCTCATATCTAATATATTTTTAGATTATTATGTAGTGTGAGCGTGTTTTCCCCATTTAAACATAACTGTAAAAAAAGAATTGCTAAAATTTGAGTGGGTGTTCTTGGTTATTGATTAATAAATATTAAATGTTCTTGCGACATTCAAACAATTTTTATTTTCTTATCAGAAAAAGCACTGTGTGTCATAACAAAAAATGTATGTTTCATAAATTTTTACCCTAAAGCAATAACACAAGGTGTTTTGTTATATCCGATGTTTGTTTAAAATGTAAAGAAATCATTTTATTTTAGAAATAAATTATGTTTTTTATATAAAATATATAAAAATCTAACAAATTATTCAACAGGTCGTCGTATGTGCTTTTTTTCTCCTCCTACTACTACTCCTTCTAACTACACTTCGTCCAATAGAAATACCACTCCAGCAGGTATGAAGAAATTACAAAACAAAAATTTTGTGATGAGAAAAAAGCATGTTCTTCCTAGTGAAAGTAATGGAAATGTTTTGTTTTTTTTTTGTAATGAATGAACAGCGACCGACTGGGTTGTCGAAAATTATGTTGTTTTTTAAATTTTTATAAATGTTTTTCAAATTTAAAAAATATTTATTTGTAATTTTCTTCTTTTTTTAGGCAAAAATCTGTACAACAATGAACATGTAGCAATAAAAATGGAGCCTATGAAGTCAAAGGCTCCCCAACTACACTTAGAGTATAGGTTTTATAAACTATTAGGATCACATGGTAAGTTTAAACAATTTCCTTTTTTTTTATCTGTTTTAATATCATATATATATTTTTATGTATTTATGTTATTTATTTTATGTATAACTTATGTATTTTTTTGTTATTAGTTTATTTATTTTAAAACAATAATTATATACAATTTTTATATTTTTTTGTTTGTTTTTGTTTAAATTACTTATTAGCCCTTTAAAAGTTTTATTAAATGCTTTAAATAATTTTAATTTATGAAAATTGTTAATAATCCCTAACAAATGGAAATAGTTTTTTTTTTAAAGTTTAGAAAAAAATAGAGTAAAAGCAATAAATAGTAAAGTTTATATCTTAAGGTTTATTATTAGGTTCGTTAAATATTATTATTTACATTAAAGTGTTATTGTAAGCTTTAAAGCTATTTTCTTTTACTTTCCCTTAAATTTATTAAAAATTGAAACATCCTGCTACTGTTAAAAAACCCACATCTGGCCAGTCTTGCGTTAAAAATTGCTTTAACTAGTGCCAATCACTTTAAAATGATAGCACTGCTGGTAAATAACAATAGTACTCTAAAACAATGTGGTTAATTTAGTTATTTTTAAACAAATGCAGCGTTTTTAAAGGACAATGAAGTGTTTTAACTTTTTCTTGCATTTCCTCCAACATTTTAATGAAAATACAAAAACCAAAACTGTCAAATTATTTTAACCATTTAACACTTAAGAGCGTCTAAAAAACGTCATCCAAAAATATAATTAAATGAAAAATCTGGTCTTTTACACCAGTTTTTAAAGAAGTTTAAGACGATCCTTCACTTTTTTGATCTTGTTGCTTTCCAGGAGCATTTTGACAAAAAACAACTTTTCAGTGTAAAACACACTTAAACCAAAATTAACTTTCGGCAGTTTTTCTATAAGAAAAACTGTTATACTCTAATTATTAACACATTTTTCTATACAAACAGTTTTTTTCTGCAGAATTTCCTATAGGAAGCCTTGAGTAGTACAGTTTTTCCTATAGAAATTTTGAGTATAACAGTTTTGTCTATAAAAAATTTCTGTATAACACATTTTTCGGTAAAAAATTATTTATATAACAAATTTTTTATATTACACATTTTTCTATAAAAAAAAATTTGGGTATAACTCATTGTTCTATAGAAAAAATTGTGTATAAGACATTTCTCTATAGAAAATTTCGTTTATAACACACTTTTCTATAGAAAATTTTGTTTATAACACATTTTTCTACAGAAAAATGTATGTATAACATATTTTTCTATAGAAAAAGTTATGTATAAAAATTTTTTCTATAGAGTGACCACAAAATTTTTCTACAAAAAAATTTGTGTAATACACATTTCTCTATAGAAAATTTTGTTTATAACTCATTTTTCTATAGAAAAATTTATGTATAACACATTTTTCTATATAAAAATGTATGTATACACTATTTTCTGTAGAAAAAATTGTGTATAACACTATTTCCTATAGAAAAATTGGGTATAACACATTTTTCTATAGAAAAATTTGGGTATAACACATTGTTCTATAGAAAAATGTTTGTATAACACATTTTTCTATAGAAGAAATTATGCATAACACACTTTTTATAAAAAAAATTATTTCTAACACTATTATCTATAGAAAAATTGTGTATAAAAGATGTCCTATAGAAAAATTCTAGCTTTTTTCTAGAAAGCATAGTGTATAACATATTTTCTTATAGAAAAACTTGTGTATAACAGTTTTTTTACGTGATAATTTGTGTATAACAGTATAAGATATTTGCAATAGATATTTCTATAACGTTTTTTTTTCTGTAGAAAAATTTAAGTATAACAATTTTTTATAGAAAAAATTTTGTATAACTGTTTTTTTCTGTAGAATAACTTACGTATAACAGTTTTTTCTAATAAATATTTTTTGTATAATAGTTCTTTCAGTAGAAAAGCTTGAGTATAATAGTTCATTCATTAGAAAAACTTGACTATAACAGTATTTTTCTATCAAACAATTTTGTATAACTATTGTTAATGAAATTTTTTGTGTACAACAATTTTTGGCTACATAAAAAATTCAGTATAACAGTATAACATAAAGAAAAAATGTATAACATTTTTCTGTAGTAAAATCAGCTTAAACACCGTTTTTCTGTAGAAAATTTTGTGTATAACAGTTTTTTTTATAGAAAACTTTGTGTATAATATTTTTGTTTATAGAAAATTTTGTATATAAAAGATTTTTCTATTGAAAAATATGTGTATAACAGTTAATTTATAGAAAAACATAGAATTAATCTACAAAAAACTGTAAAGAAATAAAATTATTACTCTCTAGCCGTTTTTTCAAATGCAAAATCTTAGCATCACTGTTTTCACAAACAAAACAATTGACATTTATATTGACAGCCTCCTACTGTCAGGCTCAAGCATATTTACACATTAAGAAGGATATAAACTTGTATTGCTTTTACTCTTCAAAACCCCCCTCCTCCACTCCTGCTCTCTTCAAACAACCTTATACACACTTTTCTACTATTCTATTGTTTTTGTTGTACTTGTTATAACCCTGTAACCTCTAATGACAACAACAAAAACCAACAACAATAAATTGAACCTTTCTTATCATAATAATGAAAAAAAGAGAAAAAAACGTTTAGAAAAGTATAAAAAGTAAGAAAAGAAGAATCTAATAATCCTTTACAACCTTGTCCTTTTGTGTATTCTAATCCTTGACAATGCTTTTTTTAATTTAAAAAAGAACCTACATTTCTATAAATATATTTATATGTATGTATGGCTAAATTATTATGTATATTCATTTAATATTTTTATTGTGTGTGTGTAAAAAAATCGTTTTATAACATACGTTACTAACTACTTTTTTTTTTTTTCAAAGAAAAAAATAACTAAATAAAAAATAATATTATCTTTAGCTTGAATTTGTTGACGTAATAAAAACAAACAAAAAACAAATAATAATTATCCCTCTTTTTATTATTATTATAATTTTTTTTTTCGAATTGCACCGTTACCACCTTTGTTAAATCAAAATATATAAAAAAAATGAAATGTTTACAAAAAAAAATCCATTTCTTTTGCTAATAAAACAAATTATGCTGACAATTTTCTATATAGGAAATAATTACAATGAAAAAAAAGAAACAAAATAATATTTTTATAAAGATTTTCTCTAGCATATTTATTATACGGAGGTCGGTGCTCTATATTTCTTTTTTTATTAATATTCCCCCTTTTTAAATGTATTAAAATTAAAATGTAATTTTTATAACTTTTTTTTAATTGATTAAAATAATATTTATTATTATAAATTAATTGTTGTAATTTTTTGTTGTTAGAATTATGTTATTTAACTATAGTTTAAAAAAGCAAAATACAATAATAACATTAAGTGGACTTAAAAAAATAATAAAGGTTGAGCACAGAATAAATTCATAGACTAGACAAGATCGCTGACTGAATTAATTACAGATTGAAGTAAAGAGAAGGCTAGACTATAGACTAGACTATAGACTAGACTATAGACTAGACTATAGACTAGACTAGACTATAGACTAGACTATAGACTATAGACTAGACTATAGACTAGACTATAGACTAGACTATAGACTAGACTATAGACTATAGACTAGACTATAGACTAGACTATAGACTAGACTATAGACTAGACTATAGACTAGACTATAGACTAGACTATAGACTAGACTATAGACTAGACTATAGACTAGACTATAGACTAGACTATAGACTAGACTATAGACTAGACTATAGACTAGACTATAGACTAGACTATAGACTAGACTATAGACTAGACTATAGACTAGACTATAGTCTAGTCTATAGTCTAGTCTATAGACTAGACTATAGACTAGACTATAGACTAGACTATAGACTAGACTATAGACTAGACTATAGACTAGACTATAGACTAGACTTTAGACTAGACTATAGACTAGACTATAGACTAGACTATAGACTAGACTATAGACTAGACTATAGACTAGACTATAGACTAGACTATAGACTTGACTATAGACTAGACTATAGACTAGACTATAGACTAGACTATAGACTAGACTATAGACTAGACTATAGACTAGACTATAGACTAGACTATAGACTAGACTATAGACTAGACTATAGACTAGACTAAAGACTAGACTATAGACTAGATTATAGACTAGACTATAGACTAGACTATAGACTAGACTATAGACTAGACTATAGACTAGACTATAGACTAGACTATAGACTAGACTATAGACTAGACTATAGACTAGACTATAGACTAGACTATAGACTAGACTATAGACTAGACTACTAGACTATAGACTAGACTATAGACTAGACTATAGACTAGACTATAGACTAGACTATAGACTAGACTATAGACTAGACTATAGACTAGACTATAGACTAGACTATAGACTAGACTATAGACTAGACTATAGACTAGACTATAGACTAGACTATAGACTAGACTATAGACTAGACTATAGACTAGACTATAGACTAGACTATAGACTAGACTATAGACTAGACTATAGACTAGACTATAGACTAGACTATAGACTAGACTATAGACTAGACTATAGACTAGACTATAGACTAGACTATAGACTAGACTATAGACTATAAACTAGACTATAGACTAGACTATAGACTAGACTATAGACTAGACTATAGACTAGACTATAGACTAGACTATAGACTAGACTATAGACTAGACTATAGACTAGACTATAGACTAGACTATAGACTAGACTATAGACTAGACTATAGACTAGACTATAGACTAGACTATAGACTAGACTATAGACTAGACTATAGACTAGACTAGACTATAGACTAGACTATAGACTAGACTATAGACTAGACTATAGACTAGACTATAGACTAGACTATAGACTAGACTATAGACTAGACTATAGACTAGACTATAGACTAGACTATAGACTAGACTATAGACTAGACTATAGACTAGACTATAGACTAGACTATAGACTAGACTATAGACTAGACTATAGACTAGACTATAGACTAGACTATAGACTGGACTATAGACTAGACTATAGACTAGACTATAGACTAGACTATAGACTAGACTATAGACCAGACTATAGACTAGACTATAGACTAGACTATAGACCTAGACTATAGACTAGACTATAGACTAGACTATAGACTAGACTATAGACTAGACTATAGACTAGACTATAGACTAGACTATAGACTAGACTATAGACTAGACTATAGACTAGACTATAGACTAGACTATAGACTAGACTATAGACTAGACTATAGACTAGACTACTAGCTAGACTAGACTAGACTATAGACTATACTATAGACTATACTATAGACTATACTATAGACTATACTATAGACTATACTATAGACTAGACTATAGGCTTAACTATAGAATAGACTATAGACTAGACACTATAGACTAAACTTTATACCAAACTATAGCTGGACTATGACTGGACCATAGATTAGAGAATACTGGTGTAGTCTAGACTGTAGACAGACTGTAGACCAAAATATAAACTAGACTATACATTAAACTATAGATTATACTATTGACTGGCTGGACTATATTGATTTTTTATTTAATACAAAATTGTATAAACCAATACTTGCCTTTAGTTCTGCGCTCACTCTTATGTTTATAGTATTCTTCTATCACGAACACTTTATTGTTATTATTGTGAACGTCATTGAAAATATATGATTTATATAAAAGAAAACTAATTTAATATTTATATAAAGTAGTAAAAACAACAACAATAAAATTATTATTATTATTGTATTTATTTTGATTACTCATCAAATTATCATTCATATTGTTTTTATTTGACACCTATCACAATCAACCAACAACTACAAAAACAACAATCCACCCAATCAACCTATGAATCTCTGTTGCCCTCTCTATCTCTATTACCCTATCACAAAATCAACGATCAACAATTAAATCTGTCAACAAACAACGATCGATCTGTCAAAATATATTCATAAACAAATAATGCGAACATATTGTTACTATTTGTTTTTATTTGTAAACAAATGCTACAACAACGACAACAAAAAATAAACAAAATTAATAAAACAAATAATGAATGAAATGAATATTATAATAATGATGATGATGACTATAATAATAATGATGATGATGATGACGATAATGATAATAATGATGTAAACAAAAACATATGTTTAAATATGTAATTTAAATCGCTCTCTCCCACACATTCGCTCTATCTCTCTCTGTCCATTCCTCTCTCAATATATTACACATGCACACACACACACTCACAATTTATTGTTTATGTTTTAATTAAATTAATTATTAATATTAAAAACTACTACTACTAAATGCAAATTAAAATAATAATAAACAAAACAAACAAATGCTGATTAAACAATTATTGTATATTGTGTGTAAATTTATGTTAAAAAACTAAATGTGTGTGTGTATATTTATTATATTACCAATTGGATAATCAACCAAACAACCCAACCAAACCGAACCAAATCCACCCCCAACAACATCATTAAAATATACAGATAATTGTCCAGAGGGTATTCCGCGTGTTTATCATTTGGGCACATGTGGTGGCCGTTACAATGCCATGGTATTAGAATTATTGGGACTGTCTTTAGAAGATCTCTTCAATATTTGCAACCGTAAATTTTCACTTAAGACTGTACTGATGATTGCAAAGCAACTTGTAAGTTTTGACAATTTAATCATTATAAATTAAAAAAAAAAAAAACAACAACAACAAAACTCCCCTCTTTCAAGTTATAACCTAAAAAATTATTAAAAAAAGTCGTGTTTAAATGTCTACGTTTTTATTTGAATTTTAACACTAAGTTTATTAATAATTTCTTTTAGAAATTTATGATTTTATTGTTTATTTATAAAAAAAGAAAATAATATTATTTTTTCGTTAAAAAATATAAGTTTTTTGAGTTCCTTATTTATCAAATGAAAAAAAAGTGTCTCAACTGCAAATTATTAAAAGCATAATAAATAAAAATAATTCAAAATAAATTTGTAAAATTTTTTTCTATTTCTCCTACCACTGTCTCTGTCTCTCTATCTGTATTATTTTTGTTTTTTAAACAAAATCTTTTTAAATTTTAACATTTAGTTTTTTTTTAATAAAACAAAATTTAGTAGTTGTAGTTAAAATTAAATATTTAGTTATTTTATAAATTTTTTTAAACTGGATAAGAAACTATTTATTAACCCATTAAATGAAAAAGTTATAAACAATATTTTTTTTTTTTTTATTTCAAATTTAAACGTTATATAAAGATTTTTACGAAAAATATACTGTACTAGGGTCCAGACTAGACTGTAGGCTAAAACATAGCTTATACTATAGACTAGTCTATGAACTTTGCTAGACTAATACGCAAACTATACATTACATTATAGACTAGACCATAGACTAGATTATAGACTAGACTATGGACTTGACTATAGACTAGACTATCGACTTGACTATAGACTATACTATAGACTAAACTATAGACTGGACTATAGACTAGACTACTGACTAGACTACAGACTAGACTATAGACTAGACTATAGACTAGACTATAGAATAGACTATAGACTAGACTATAGACTAGACTATGGACTAGACTATAGACTACACTATATATTAGACTATAGACTAGACTTTTTGAATAGACTTTTTGACTAGACTATAGACTAGACTATAGACTCGACTATAGACTAGACTATAGACTAGACTATAGACTAGACTATAGACTAGACTATAGACTAGACTATAGACTAGACTATAGACTAGACTATAGACTAGACTATAGACTAGACTATAGACTAGACTATAGACTAGACTATAGACTAGACTATAGACTAGACTATAGACTAGACTATAGACTAGACTATAGACTAGACTATAGACTAGACTATAGACTAGACTAGACTAGACTATAGACTAGACTATAGACTTGACTAGACTATAGACTAGACTAGACTATAGACTAGACTGTAGACTAGACTATAGACTAGACTGTAGACTAGACTATAGACTAGACTGTAGACTAGACTAGACTATAGACTAGACTATAGACTAGACTATAGACTAGACTATAGACTATACTATAGACTAGACTAGACTATAGACTAGACTAGACTAGACTATAGACTATAGACTAGACTAGACTATAGACTAGACTAGACTATAGACTAGACTATAGACTATACTATAGACTAGACTATAGACTAGACTGTAGACTAGACTATAGACTAGACTGTAGACTAGACTATAGAATAGACTATAGACTAGACTATAGACTAGACTAGACTAGACTATAGACTAGACTATAGACTAGACTATAGACTAGACTATAGACTAGACTATAGACTAGACTATAGACTAGACTATAGACTAGACTATAGACTAGACTATAGACTAGACTATAGACTAGACTATAGACTAGACTATAGACTAGACTATAGACTAGACTATAGACTAGACTATAGACTAGACTATAGACTAGACTATAGACTAGACTATAGACTAGACTATAGACTAGACTATAGACTAGACTATAGACTAGACTATAGACTAGACTATAGACTAGACTATAGACTAGACTACTAGACTAGATTGCATATTGGACTGTGGTCTAGATTGTGGAGTATACTTACCTAAAGATTGTACTATAGACAAGACTTTAGTTAAGGAATTTTTTCTAAAACCTCGCTTTTTGAATATCCTTAATGTTCATAGTATGTTGTCATCTTCGATAATGTTTATCGAATTATAATTATACAATTGTTTATTGAATAGACAAATTAATATGCAAATTAAATATATTTTTAAAAGAAAACGAAAAAAAGTGATTTTTACGTGCATGTTTTTTATGTCTTTTCAAAATATTAATGATTATTGTATAATTTTTTTACCCTAGAAAGTTAATAAACAATGTATGAATATAGAGAATTCTAATTTTTTAAATAAGAATATTTTAAAAAATTTTAATACTAACCAAAAATTAAAAAAAACATATCTTCTATTATTTTTCTTTTTTAGTTCAATTAGTTTTAGTTAAATATTAACCAAAGTAGGTTTTGCAAAACAAAAAGTAAACGGAAAATGTGGAAGGGAGGGAACATTGTTAATATGTATATAATTTGTATGGAATTGTTGAAGATTTGACAATTTTACGGGAGTTTAATTTTAAACTTTTAATTCAAAACTTTAATTCTTTTTTAGAAATTATAGATTTTTATGAGTTTTATGAAAATTCTACTGCTAAGAGTTGTAACTCATTGTGAAATGATAACAATTCTCTTTACTCATGCACTGTGTATTACTAGCAGTGATGCCATCTCGTGTAAAATAAAAACTGTAGTAAATTAAGTTGTAAAAACATGTGTAAATTAAAATTATTTTGTATTATATTTATGGCCTTTCTCACATTTCCGTTTAGCAAAGCATACAATTTTTTTTTAACTTTAATAAAACTGATTTTATTTGTTATGTAAATATTTAATAACTATTATTTTTCTTATTAAAAACAAAATACAGCATTTGACTTCCATTTTTTCAAATATGCAAAGAGAATTTCTATAAGAAAAACTAATTAATGTAAAATATTATAAATTTTTATAAAAAAATGAAATTTTTGGGTGGTAAAACAATAGGTGACAAACAACAATTTAAGTTTTTTTTTTACATCTTAAAGCACTAACCTGGTTTTTAAAAAAAACCGACTGCCTTTTCATAAATATTTAATTAATAACTTTAATTTAAATACAAATATATAAAACATAACTGCTCTTGATTACAAACCTTGACAAAAACAACAACAATGGAATTTGTTTAAAAATTTAAACAAAAACATAACCTCATTTCAAAAAAAAAAAAAATAAAAAAAAAATTTTGCTGCTTTTTCTCTCTATTTATTTTTTAAATGGAAAATTTGTTTTTATTCCAAAACATTTCAAAAAATATTTTCTTTTAAAAAATAATTTAAATATGTTAATATTTTGTTCACATATATTTTACAATTGTTGTTGTTATTGTTTTTGTTATTGTAGCAGAAGGTGTACCCGAAGTATATTACTTCGGCCCATGCGGCAAGTACAATGCTCTTGTAATGGAATTGCTCGGTCCATCACTTGAAGATTTATTTGATATTTGCGGCAGACGTTTCACTTTGAAGACAGTACTACTGATAGCAATACAATTAGTAAGTACCCAACAAAAACAAAAAAAAAAATCCACCAAAAAAAAAAAAACAATAAAACCACCAAATATATAAAATAACTGAAAAGTTAAATTCCACACCTTTAAAAAAATTCAACATACAAAACACAATTTACATTAAAACTTTTCAAAAAAAACAAATGACAATCCCGCATTTTAAACAAATCAACAAAACGTTGTTAACCCTATTACATTTAGCCTAGGCCACCATTTTTTACTTTGCTGTCATTTCTTATAATTTACTAAAAATTAATTCATATGTTTTTTTTTTTAAACTAAACCAAACATTTATTTCATTTACTTAAATTAATTAAGGTTTAAGGTTGTTTTTATATAATTTTCTATTTCATGGAAAAATTTGTTCACATTTTCTTCAAAAACTCTTTTCATATTTAGCATTATTTAGCTTTAATTTATATAAAAATCATTTAGTTAGATATTTTATCTAAAATTTATTTAATTTTATTTCAGTTGTTTTAATTTTTGAAACAATTTTATAAAAAAAGCATGTTTTTTTCTTCAAACCATAGAACCTATTTTTCTTTATAATTTTCTTAATTATTTTGAATTATTTTTATTTATTTTGTTTGTTATTTCATTAAATCTTAAAAAAAGCTTTTTCTCAATAAAATAGTTTAGCTAAAACTATAATCAAATCATTTATTGCTAAAAGATAAAATAAAAATTATAATAAACATTTAAATTATAATAAAAATATACTGCGCTAGTTGAGACACTGTTGTTTTAAAATTTTGTTTTTTAAAAGAAAATCGTTTTTACCTTAAAGCAACTATAAATTATTTTAAAAAATCTCCCTCCTTACCCTATTCCTTTGTTTCCAAAACATATTCAGCATGTTTATATTTAATATTTATTTCCAAATACTAATATTTTATTCTTTTTTTAACAAAAAATTTTAATTTAAATAAAAAATTAAAAACTATAGCTCCACCGGATCGAATATGTTCATAGTCGGCACTTAATTTATAGAGATGTTAAACCAGAAAATTTTCTAATTGGTAGAACATCAACGAGACGAGAAAAAATTATCCACATAATTGGTAAGTTTCGATTTTTTATTAATTATTTTATGTAGAAAATAGTGTTTAAAAAAGCACTTATTTGATATTATTCAGTTATTGAGAATATTTTCCAAATGTGCCACACGTATTTATTGCATAAGCTAGACTATACATCAGGTTAGACTATAGACTAGACTATAGACTGGACTATAGACTAGACTATAGACTAGACTATAGACTAGACTATAGACTAGACTATAGACTAGACTATAGACTAGACTATAGACTAGACTATAGACTAGACTATAGACTAGACTATAGACTAGACTATAGACTAGACTATAGACTAGACTATAGACTAGACTATAGACTAGACTATAGACTAGACTATAGACTAGACTATAGACTAGACTATAGACTAGACTATAGACTAGACTATAGACTAGACTATAGACTAGACTATAGACTAGACTATAGACTAGACTAGACTATAGACTAGACTATAGACTAGACTATAGACTAGACTATAGACTAGACTATAGACTAGACTATAGACTAGACTATAGACTAGACTATAGACTAGACTATAGACTAGACTATAGACTAGACTATAGACTAGACTATAGACTAGACTATAGACTAGACTATAGACTAGACTATAGACTAGACTATAGACTAGACTATAGACTAGACTATAGACTAGACTATAGACTAGACTATAGACTAGACTATAGACTAGACTATAGACTAGACTATAGACTAGACTATAGACTAGACTATAGACTAGACTATAGACTAGACTATAGACTAGACTATAGACTAGACTATAGACTAGACTATAGACTAGACTATAGACTAGACTATAGACTAGACTATAGACTAGACTATAGACTAGACTATAGACTAGACTATAGACTAGACTATAGACTATATAGACTAGATATAGACTAGACTATAGACTAGACTATAGACTAGACTATAGACTAGACTATAGACTAGACTATAGACTAGACTATAGACTAGACTATAGACTAGACTATAGACTAGACTATAGACTAGACTATAGACTAGACTATAGACTAGACTATAGACTAGACTATAGACTAGACTATAGACTAGACTATAGACTAGACTATAGACTAGACTATAGACTAGACTATAGACTAGACTATAGACTAGACTATAGACTAGACTATAGACTAGACTATAGAGACTATAGACTAGACTATAGACTAGACTATAGACTAGACTATAGACTAGACTATAGACTAGACTATAGACTAGACTATAGACTAGACTATAGACTAGACTATAGACTAGACTATAGACTAGACTATAGACTAGACTATAGACTAGACTATAGACTAGACTATAGACTAGACTATAGACTAGACTATAGACTAGACTATAGACTAGACTATAGACTAGACTATAGACTAGACTATAGACTAGACTATAGGACTAGACTATAGACTAGACTATAGACTAGACTATAGACTAGACTATAGACTAGACTATAGACTAGACTATAGACTAGACTATAGACTAGACTATAGACTAGACTATAGACTAGACTATAGACTAGACTATAGACTAGACTATAGACTAGACTATAGACTAGACTATAGACTAGACTATAGACTAGACTATAGACTAGACTATAGACTAGACTATAGACTAGACTATAGACTAGACTATAGACTAGACTATAGACTAGACTATAGACTAGACTATTAGACTAGACTATAGACTAGACTATAGACTAGACTATAGACTAGACTATAGACTAGACTAAGACTAGACTATAGACTAGACTATAGACTAGACTATAGACTAGACTATAGACTAGACTATAGACTAGACTATAGACTAGACTATAGACTAGACTATAGACTAGACTATAGACTAGACTATAGACTAGACTATAGACTAGACTATAGACTAGACTATAGACTAGACTAAAGACTAGACTATAGACTAGACTATAGACTAAGACTACTAGACTCGACTATAGACTAGACTATAGCTAGACTATAGACTAGATATAGACTAGACTATAGACTAGACTATAGACTAGACTATAGACTAGACTATAGACTAGACTATAGACTAGACTATAGACTTAGACTACTATAGACTAGACTATAGACTAGACTATAGACTAGACTATAGACTAGACTATAGACTAGACTAGGCTATAGACTAGACTAGACTATAGACTAGACTAGACTATAGACTAGACTATAGACTAGACTATAACTAGACTTAGACTAGACTAGACTATGGACTAGACTATAGACTAGACTAGTCTAGAAACTAGACTATGGGCTAGACAATAAAATATACTACAAATTAGATTGCCGTTTAGACTATAAATTTATTATAGGTTAGATTAAACGCTAGTCTATCAATTATACTAAGGACTAGTCTGTCGTCTATACCATAACCTAGACCATTAAAAATTAAATTTGTTTACAACACACTATAATATTTGTTTTTAACTTTTAAATTTCAGATTTCGGTTTGGCCAAAGAATATATTGATTTAGATACAAATAGACATATACCATATCGGGAACACAAATCATTGACTGGTACAGCGCGATATATGTCTATAAATACACACATGGGCAGAGAGCAATCTAGACGTGATGATTTAGAGGCATTAGGTCACATGTTCATGTATTTCTTAAGAGGTTCACTGCCATGGCAAGGTCTTAAGGCCGATACACTTAAGGAAAGATATCAAAAAATTGGTGATACTAAACGAGCAACACCCATAGAGGTAAGTCAAATAAAGAATTTTAAAAAAATAATTTAGAGAAACAAATAAAAATGGTCCTGTTTCGGTTTTCCCCTTTTTAGGTACTTTGTGATGGTCATCCTGAAGAGTTTGCCACATATTTACGTTATGTGAGGCGATTAGATTTTTTTGAAACGCCCGATTATGATTTTCTGCGAAGACTGTTCCAAGACTTATTCGATCGTAAAGGCTACGTGGATGATGGAGAATTCGACTGGACAGGGAAGACAATGGTAGGCAGTAAACGTGATACAATTTAACATTTACACACAAAGAAAACAACAAAATTCAATTAGTTTAACTAAAACAAACAAATCTGGGTGAATGAATAATTGGAAAATATAGAAGAGTTTTGAATGAATATTTTTCTTATAAGTTTTGGAGCATTTGCAGGATTTGCAGTTGAAAAGAATGAAGAAGTTTGTTTAAATTTCAATTAATGTTTGAAGAAATTTTATGTTTTGTTTTGATAGTCCAAGAAAAAGGTGCCAATTTTGTTATGGTTTTTGTTTGTAAATGTTTTCTAACAATTTCAATTTTATTTTTAAGGTCTTTTCTTTTGAATCAAGTCAAGTTATCCAAAAGCAAAATGCAAGCAATTAAAAATAGTTTTTTTAACTAAATTAATGTAAATTTTAAAAAAAAATTAAAACTTTCTTTTTTTGGTTTTATTGCAAAAATTTTAATATGTATGAGTTAACTATTTTCTTCCATATGTGTTTTAATATTTTTTTAAACTTATTAATAATTTGTTTTGTTTTACTATGGCATTTTTTAAAAAAGAATTTGTTTTATTTTATTTGTTATTTTAAATTAATTTTTATGTCTTTCACCAAAAATTATGTTCAAAATTACCAGAGTAAGGAACAACTTGAAAAAATGAAAGTTTTGAAAAATGCTCCACCTTCTCATTTAGCCAAAAATAAATCGGATAAGGTATCATTTTTTGATTGATAATTATTTTTGTTATTGTAATTTTTTTAATTTGGAAAATTTTAATTTGCAAAAAATTTTGTATTTATGATTTTTAATAAGAATTGTTTTCAGGGAAAGCCTATTCATAAGACTAGTCCATAGTTTAGACTGTAGGCTATCCTATAATTGATCTTGTATATAATCTGGTTAATAGTCTATCTAGACTGTTATCTACTCTAATGCCTAATCTAAAGTGTCTAGTCTTGTCTATAGTCTAGTCTGTGGTCTATTTTATAGTCCAGTCTATAATCCAGTCTATAGTCCAGTCTATAACTTAATCTATAGTCTACTCTATAGTCTAGGAAATAGTCTAGTCTATAGGTTAGTCTGTAGTCTAGTCTATAGTCTAGTCTATAGTCTAGTTTATAGTCTAGTCTATAGTCTAGTCTATAGTCTAGTCTATAGTCTAGTCTATAGTCTAGTCTATAGTCTAGTCTATAGTCTAGTCTATAGTCTAGTCTATAGTCTAGTCTATAGTCTAGTCTATAGTCTAGTCTATAGTCTAGTCTATAGTCTAGTCTATAGTCTAGTCTATAGTCTAGTCTATAGTCTAGTCTATAGTCTAGTCTATAGTCTAGTCTATAGTCTAGTCTATAGTCTAGTCTATAGTCTAGTCTATAGTCTAGTCTATAGTCTAGTCTATAGTCTAGTCTATAGTCTAGTCTATAGTCTAGTCTATAGTCTAGTCTATAGTCTAGTCTATAGTCTAGTCTATAGTCTAGTCTATAGTCTAGTCTATAGTCTAGTCTATAGTCTAGTCTATAGTCTAGTCTATAGTCTAGTCTATAGTCTAGTCTATAGTCTAGTCTATAGTCTAGTCTATAGTCTAGTCTATAGTCTAGTCTATAGTCTAGTCTATAGTCTAGTCTATAGTCTAGTCTATAGTCTAGTCTATAGTCTAGTCTATAGTCTAGTCAATAGTCTAGTATATAGTCTAGTATATAGTCTAGTCTATAGTCTAGTCTATAGTATAGTTTATAGTCTAGTCTATAGTATAGTTTATAGTCTAGTCTATAGTCTAGTCTATAGTCTAGTCTATAGTCTAGTCTATAGTCTAGTCTATAGTCTAGTCTATAGTCTAGTCTATAGTCTAGTCTATAGTCTAGTCTATAGTCTAGTCTATAGTCTAGTCTATGGTCTAGACAATAGTCTAGTCTATAGTCTAGACAATAGTCTAGTCTATAGTCTAGTCTATAGTCTAATCTATAGTCTAGTCTATAGTCTAGTCTATAGACTAGTCTATAGTCTAGTCTATAGTCTAGTCTATAGTCTAGTCTATAGTCTAGTCTATAGTCTAGTCTATAGTCTAGTCTATAGTCTAGTCTATAGTCTAGTCTATAGTCTAGTCTATAGTCTAGTCTATATTCTAGTCTATAGTCTAGTCTATAGTTTAGTCTATAGTCGAGTCTATAGTCTAGTCTATAGTCTAGTCTATAGTCGAGTCTATAGTCTAGTCTATAGTCGAGTCTATAGTCTAGTCTATAGTCTAGTCTATAGTCCAGTCTATAGTCTGGTCTACAGTCTTGTCTATAGTCTAGTCTATAGTCTGGTCTACAGTCTTGTCTATAGTTAGGCTACAGTCTAGCCTATAGTCTTGTCAATAGTCTAGTTTATAGATCTAGTTCATGGTCTTGTCTATTCTGTAGTTTTTTCTATAGTCTAGATTGTTGTCCAGTCTAGAATCTACATCCTAGTGAATAGTCTATTCTATAGTCTAGTATGTGGTCTAGCTTATAGTATATTCTATAATCTAGTCTATAGTCTATTCTATAGTCTAGTCTTCAGTATAGTCTAAAACCAAATTTACAGATGGTGGCCTCCAGTAGGTCTGTGTAGTGGCTTTAATATGAAAGTTACTTTTTATTATTTTTTTTTAAATCCCTGGAAAATTCTTATTGAAAAACAATTTTTTATTATTTTATGGCTTTTTTAGTTTTCTTTATAAAACCATGATTTTTATAATAATTATTATTTATCTTAGATAAAACAAAAAACCGCAAAACAAAATCATAATTTTCTTAGAACACCGTATGCTAGCTGAGTGTTGTTGTATTTGAGATATAAATTTTTTTAAATGAAAAAATAACAGCAAAAAAAAAAACTATGATAATTTTTTATCAGTAATTATAACAATAATAGTATTCTATTATTTCTTACGCATAACATAATGACTAATATTAAAAATTTATTTTTATTTTATTTTTATTGCAAAACAAATCAACCAAACACATTGAACCATGTATGTGTGTGTTTTATCATCAACGTATTTAAAAACGACAATTAAAATGATTGTGGTCTACATCTCGCTCTCTTGTTGTTAATAATTGAATGACAAACTAAAAAAAAAAAAAAATCTCTTCATCATCTTTATCATTTTCTTGATAAAAAAAATAAATCATAAATGTAAATGTTTTAATTGTAAACACAACCACCACCACTACCACCCACTTAAACTACAACAAACAGTCAACGCCGGTTGGTTCTTTACAAACAGGTCATGAAGTTATCATTTCACCAAATAAAGATCGTCATAATGTTACAGGCAAGGTAATGTATAATTTTTCTTTTTTTTATTATAACTTAAATTTTTTCATTAAATATTTATGTGGTTTAGAATTTCCAATTGAATTTAAAGAATTTTTAGTTTATAATGAATTTCTTTAAAGAATTTTTAAAATAACTTATCTAAGAAATGGAAAATTTTGTTTAAAAGTTTCTGGTATTCAATTGGAACATAAATTTAAAAAACGGCAGTTTATTTTGAAATGTTTTTATAGTAAACTTTATAGATCTTTTGAAAAATTCAAATTTGTTTGAGTTTTTTTCTTTCATGTTTAAAATCCCATTGTGGAGCTTAATTTACCCTTCCTTCATTTTATTCAATTTATAGTTTAGCTCTTTGTTTACAAATAATTCTTTAAATGTTTTTAATATTTTTCGTATTTAATAAGCTTTGCTTCATTTTGTTTAAACTATAAACATAAAACCTAAATTTTTACTTTCTTTTAATAACTAAGCTTTCGTTTTGTTTTACAAACAGTTAGCATCACTGATTAGTTTAAATTTATATCTTTAAAGATCTTTTGTTGTACCGTAACCGCTTTTAACCCTAATTCATAGTTTTAGTACTAACTTATCCCTTAAAACAGTTGGTTGGCATCACGGTTTGTCCTTAAACTCCTAAACCTAGACTAGACTATAGACCAGACTATAGGCTAGACTATAGACCAGACTATAGGCTAGACTATTGACTAGACTATAGGCTAGACTATAGACTAGATTATAGGTTTGACTATAGACTAGACTATAGGCTAGACTATAGACTAGACTATAGGCTAGACTATAGACTAGACTATAGAGTAGACTATATACTAGATTATAGACTAGACTATATGCTAGACTAAATGCTAGACTGTAGACTAGACTATAGACTAGACTATAGACTAGACTATAGACTAGACTATAGACTAGACTATAGACTAGACTATAGACTAGACTAGACTATAGACTAGACTAGACTAGACTATAGACTAGACTAGACTAGACTATAGACTAGACTAGACTATAGACTAGACTATAGACTAGACTATAGACTAGACTATAGACTAGACTATAGACTAGACTAGACTAGACTATAGTCTAGACTATAGACTAGACTATAGACTAGACTATAGACTAGACTATAGACTATACTATAGACTATACTATAGACTATACTATAGACTAGACTATAGACTAGACTATAGACTAGACTATAGACTAGACTAAAGACTAGACTATAGACTAGACTATAGACTAGACTATAGACTAAAAGATATACTAGATTATAGACTAGACTATATGCTAGACTAAATGCTAGACTGTAGACTAGACTATAGACTAGACTAGACTATAGACTAAACTATAGACTAGACTATAGACTAGAATATAGACTAGACTATAGACTAGAATATAGATTAGACTATAGACTAGACTATAGACTAGACTATAGACTAGACTATAGAATAGACTATAGAATAGACTATAGAATAGACTATAGACTAGACTATAGGCTAGACTAGACTATAGACTAGACTATAGACTAGAATATAGACTAGACTATAGACTAGACTATAGACTAGACTATAGACTAGACTAGACTAGACTATAGACTAGACTATAGACTAGACTATAGACTAGACTATAGACTAGACTATAGACTAGACTATAGACTAGACTATAGACTAGACTATAGACTAGACTATAGACTAGACTATAGACTAGACTATAGACTAGACTATAGACTAGACTATAGACTAGACTATAGACTAGACTATAGACTAGACTATAGACTAGACTATAGACTAGACTATAGACTAGACTATAGACTAGACTATAGACTAGACTATAGACTAGACTATAGACTAGACTATAGACTAGACTATAGACTAGACTATAGACTAGACTATAGACTAGACTATAGACTAGACTATAGACTAGACTATAGACTAGACTATAGACTAGACTATAGACTAGACTATAGACTAGACTATAGACTAGACTATAGACTAGACTATAGACTAGACTATAGACTAGACTATAGACTAGACTATAGACTAGACTATAGACTAGACTATAGACTAGACTATAGACTAGACTATAGACTAGACTATAGACTAGACTATAGACTAGACTATAGACTAGACTATAGACTAGACTATAGACTAGACTATAGACTAGACTATAGACTAGACTATAGACTAGACTATAGACTAGACTATAGACTAGACTATAGACTAGACTATAGACTAGACTATAGACTAGACTATAGACTAGACTATAGACTAGACTATAGACTAGACTATAGACTAGACTATAGACTAGACTATAGACTAGACTATAGACTAGACTATAGACTAGACTATAGACTAGACTATAGACTAGACTATAGACTAGACTATAGACTAGACTATAGACTAGACTATAGACTAGACTATAGACTAGACTATAGACTAGACTATAGACTAGACTATAGACTGACTATAGACTAGACTAGACTAGACTATAGACTAGACTATAGACTAGACTATAGACTAGACTATAGACTAGACTATAGACTAGACTATAGACTAGACTATAGACTAGACTATAGACTAGACTATAGACTAGACTATAGACTAGACTATAGACTAGACTATAGACTAGACTATAGACTAGACTATAGACTAGACTATAGACTAGACTATAGACTAGACTATAGACTAGACTATAGACTAGACTATAGACTAGACTATAGACTAGACTATAGACTAGACTATAGACTAGACTATAGACTAGATTATAGACTAGACTATAGACTAGATTATAGACTAGACTATAGACTAGACTATGGACTAGACAATAAAGTAGACTATAGACTAAATTATAGACTAGACTAGACTATGGAGTAGACTATAGACTATACTATAGTTTAGACTGTAGACTATGGACTAGACGATCGACTAGTCTATAGTTTAAACTCTATTAGACTCTAGACTTAAGGCTGAATTTTCCATGCCTGTTGTCAAGTGCATTTCCTAGTGTTGCCACATCACTCCCTTAAGATATAAACAGTGTTGTCATAGCATTTCAAAATAAACTCTGCCTATTTTCGAGGTAATTACCTAACAACTATTTTAGCCTTTAACAAATAAAATCTTTAAACTATGTATTTCTTTTTCACAAATAGTTTATTTTCTATGGGTATTCTTCTTTAATTGTATAAACATTTTAATACTATTAAATGTCTTTTAAACAAGTTTTTCTTCTTTAGTATTTAAAAACTTAATTTTATTAAAATTTAAATTTTGTTTATTTTTGTTTAAATATCAACAAAAAAAAAAATAAACAGGATGTTTCTTATTTTGATTATGAAGATGATGATGAAGAATTTTTAATTTTGGAGGTTAGAATTTGTTGTGATAAACGTAAAGATTAATAGGGCGTGGTAGCAGTATTGTTTTAGGCAAAAGCTAGTTTTTATAACAACTCTCACGTAGGTGGTTTTAATGTGTGCTTTTCTTTGTGTAATGGTCTAAAAAAGGATTATTTTTTAACTTTATAAATAATGTTATATATTAATTTATAAAAAGCTTTTTGGTTTTTTTGTTAATATTTTTAAATTTTGTAACTAAAACCTTTAGTTTTTATGTTTAAAGCTTTTTTTATTAATGCTTTTGTTTACTAATTTTCTGTAAATTTACTTATTATTTTACTAACTTGTATAAATAATAAAAATATCCTAGTTAAAATAGTATGTACATTAATTAATAACAATAGTTTTGTAATTTTGTATATAACAGAGAAAATTATAGTTAAATTAACTAAACTTTTTGTAGTAAACTTATGTGTGATAAATTAAATTTAAGAAATTTTGAAATACTAATCAATCTCCAACCAATTTGAGCTGAATATGACTCAAACAGAAATGCAAAAAAACGATGTGGTAACTTCATTTGAGTGGCCGCCCGCTTTCTTATCTCTTTTGACAACTACGTTTTTATTGTTGCCAGTGCACTACTATAGACTAGAAAATGGACAAATATTGATGACTACACTATAGATAAATCCGGGAAAATGGACGATGTAGTGATAAAATAAACCAAATGATGGACAAGTCGATACGGTAGATTCAAATAAATTAATCAATAGACAAGACAATAAACAAATCAATAAACGAGACGATAGACCAGTCGCTAGTCTAGACTATACGTTTATCTTCACTATATACTAGACAATGAACTAGTCGATAGACTTAACTATATATGGTTTCATTGACAATTCCATCTCTAAACTATAGACTAGAAAATAGCCTAGATTAGACAATAGTTCAGACTATAGACTAGATAATCGTCTAGACTATAGACGATAGACTACACTATAGACTAGACAATAGACTAGACTATAGACTAGACTATAGACTAGACTATAGACTAGACTATAGACTAGACTAGACTATAGACTAGACTATAGACTAGACTATAGACTAGACTATAGACTAGACTATAGACTAGACTATAGACTAGACTATAGACTAGACTATAGACTAGACTATAGACTAGACTATAGACTAGACTATAGACTAGACTATAGACTAGGCTATAGTCTAGACTATAGACTGGACTATAGACTAGACTATAGACTAGACTATAGACTAGACTATAGAATTTTCTAGTCTATAGACTATAGACTAGACTATAGACTAGACTATAGACTAGACTAAAGAATAGACTATAGACTAGACTATAGACTAGACTATAGACTAGACTATAGACTATAGAATTTTCTAGTCTATAGACTATAGACTAGACTATAGACTAGACTATGACTAGACTATAGACTAGACTATAGACTAGACTATAGACTAGACTATAGACTAGACTATAGACTAGACTATAGACTAGACTATAGACTAGACTATAGACTAGACTATAGACTAGACTATAGACTAGACTATAGACTAGACTATAGACTAGACTATAGACTAGACTATAGACTAGACTATAGACTAGACTATAGACTAGACTATA